TAATATTTTAATTATATTTCATTCCTTTTTTACTGCTAATTTCATCCAGTTGTCTCTTAACAATATTCAAAGTATCGTCTTGTGGTTCGAATCAACTATCAAATATTTGCAATTTGGTCCTCAAACTTTGGACTTCACTCTTTTTCGCCATTTTCCGTTTCTTTCTTTCAATTTTCACTTCCAATCATCCAGTTTTACCTAATAAACGAAATATACAATCGATTAGGCTATATTTGCTTAAAATAACTATCAAATATCTCTATTTTAAACCTCAAAGAAGTGTATAAAATACACTTATCAGAAACTTGTAATGAATAGGAACTTATAGTAAAATATTTATATTTACTTTGAAAGGTTCGGTCATATAAATGTATCTGTATTACTTGCAAGGTCATTTGAGCCTTAATATTCATGATAAATTATTATTTTATTCTATTTAGTTTAGATTCCACCATAGATGAATTAATGGACTTCAATTGATCAGAACATAAGTGAACAATATTAGATTAACCCTAAAATTTTTCATAACACATGGTTAAGAGTATAGTGAAAATAAATTTAAAATGGTTAATGATTAAATTTGTTTTCATTGCAAAAAGTAAATTTACTTCAAGTTATGTGATGTTATGATCTTGCAAAAATCAGCTTTCAAAAAGGTAAATGGTGTTGGTTGTTCACGATGGTGGCAGCGGTGGTTAGGTGGAGGATTTAGGTTGGGTGTGAGTAGTTTGGAAGCAGAGATAGATGTACATGGTGTGGTTGGTAACAACGGTGATGGATGGTAGTGTAGTTTGGGATGGGCCAATATGTTGGTGTTGGGTGATGACGAAGGATGTGATTTTGGTGTTGGTAGAGGCGAAGGTGGCTGCCGATGGTGGTCGTTGCTCGATGGTGGTGGGTGGTGCATATATGGTGGTTTGGGAAAGTGGTCATGGTGATGACATCTATGGCGTCAGCGTAACATTGCATCTTATTGTGTTATACTTTGTGTAATGGCGTCGGTTAGGCGAAATATAGTTTGGTACAAGTGTTACAAAAGGTGTAAAGAAAAGTGTAATCAGTATTTTTGTAATAAAAAGGTTCGATAATATTAATATATGTTGAAATAATTTGTTTTTTGGTCTATATGTGTAAGTAGAATTATGCTAGATGTACACCCGGTGATATACATAATGGACTACCCCCCCCCCCCCCCTTCACATAGGGGGGGCCCACGAATATTTTATTGTGTATGGGCCCCCTCCATGTGAGGGGGGTGTAATCCATCGTGTAACTCATTGTGTACATCTAACATAACTCGTGTAAGTATCCGTTTCCATATTGTTGTGGGCCTCTTCAATTTAGGCCCACACCATTCTGTGGTTCTACTTCCACTCCGGCCTCTTAGTTGTCTGCATGCTGATTTATGCTTTGCTGGTTAGCCGTAAATCTAAATCCCTAAATCTAGTT